TATATATATATATATATATATATATATATATATATATATATATATGTATTACAATGGTAGGATTATATGTCATGCATATGTTAAGATGGATCACGCAAACATTCAATTAATATTTAAATGATCTTTTTAATTCATAAATTTCAGGCTTCCTATTGCAAGAATATGATTGTATGTAAAAGTCAGATAAAAACAGTTTAGGAGAGAGACGATAGGTGAAGTTTTTTTTAAATATAAAAAAAATGTAGATATTCAATGTCGGATATAAGATTTATACTGGCAAACGTATAACTGGATAATACTGAAACCTGTTTATTTTTTTTTCGTTTTTGATATAAGTGAAAAAAAAAAATCAGAAGGTAATTTATAGCTCGGTTTGTACCATACATGGAAGTTTTCGTTATTTACCAACCAAAAGTACGCATATATATATATATATATATATATATATATATATATATATATATATATATATATATGTATGTATGTATGTATGTATGTATGTGTGTGTGTGTGTGAACACTGAACATATATATATATATATAAATATAAAAGTGAACATTGAAGTGAACATGTAAATATAAATATAAAAGTGGACATTTCATGCTAGATACAATGGTCAGGCGGCCTTAGGATTGCGTCTAGCATGAAACAGCCTGTCGCTTCTGAGTGTTGACTTCAATGTTCAATTTTATATTTATATTTACATACGCTCTCTCTGATATTGAGAACTTTATCCCTAAATATAGCACAACTTGAAACTATATTTCTTCATATATATATATATATATATATATATATATATATATATATATATATATATATATATATATATATATATATATATGTGTGTGTGTGTGTGTGTGTGTGTGTATGTATGTATATAAATAGATCAGTTGAATTATGACATTTTCGGATACAAATTCTGAAGTCTTAAGTCTTAAGTCCTTGCTTACATATTAGAAAATTCCACCGATCATTTACAATACCCTTGGTTTTCTTCTTACAGACAATTTACACACACACACACACATATATATATATATATATATATATATATATATATATATATATATATATATATATACGTGCTAATACCCTTGGGAAAGTTGTGAATCCTCTTCTCCCTCTAGCTATCGCTAAATAGCACGACAGTGCACCAGGTCTCTGTATTCGGCCCTTCAAAAGTGTGGATGGTCCTGCATGAAACCTTCACCGCTATAATCAAATCTTATGTGCTGTTGTCGGGCTGTCGGTTTCTAGAAACCAATCTGCTTGACCCTCATACGTCGAATCTCGACGGCAGTGTCGTATACATATATATATATATATATATATATATATATATATATATATATATATATATATGTATGTATATATATGGAAGGTTTTAGCGTGTATTCGTCTATACAATCATTTGCGTTTGTTGGTAAGCATGTGATTGTAAGCCATCAAAAATTATCAAGACATTTTGTTGCCTGTGTATACTTCTAAAATATCACTTTGCACACTGACCCTCACAAAACGAGCTCCTCTCACAGTGACTTTTCACAATAGCGTAGATCTAAAATGTTTTTTAATGTCTTTGCCCACCTTCGTTGTCTTTGATTACCCTCTCTTTTATAATCTTTTGTTTGTTCTCCTGAAAGTTAATAATGGCTTTTTTCTCTTTTTCAAGCGTTTAATGATCGTAAGGTTTCAAGGTGCGCGATGTGTTTAAGTTGCTTGGTAACCGAGTACTATAGCTCTGACAGAATGAACTGTTCAACCTAATAACGACGTTGACACAGGAAAAAGTATTGACTAAGGCCCAGGCGGCTCTAACAATGCCCTGTGAAGTCTACCACCGAAGTGGACAACATACGACAAATAAAACAAGTCTATGTTAAAATGATTTTAACTTTAAAGGTTTTGATTTTTTAAAGTTTCAATATCAATGTAAAGCAGTTGATTAGGTGATTTTGTTTAGCGACATGTCAACGTCTATGGGTTATTTAATGCCGAAATCTAAATATTTTGAACACAGTTTTATACCTTCAACTAAAGATATTTTGAGCGCATTTGCATACCTTCAACTACAAATAAAATGTATTGTTTGTCAATTTTGTATAAAATGTATTGTCAGTAATTTTACTATAAATAAGTATTGTTGTTATTAGATTTTGTTTAGCGGCGTATCTACCTCTATGGGTTATTTATTACCGAAATCTAAATAATTTGAACACAGTTTTATGCCTTCAACTAAAGATATTTTGAAAACAATTGTATACCTTCAACTAGAGATAAAATGCATTATTGGTCATTTTGCTATAAAATGTATTTTTGGTAATTTTTATATGAAAGTGAATTGCTGATATTATTATACTTTCAAAGTGTTTTGTTTTAGGGTGGGGGTCACTATTTCGCCATGGTTGGGGCCCTAACAGAATATTTTGGAATCCCGTTTATTTTAAGAAATTGTGGGGTAATATGCGGACTAACATCAAGAAATAGTTTTTTTCAT